CCACAGTCCGTCGTGGCCCACGTCAATCCCGCGCGTTCGGCATCAGCCCGTCGGGTCGCCCAACTCCTACTCTACTCACCTCTTACTTCGCTCGTGTGCCGACCCTTCCTGATCGCGCAACCCCGAGCTTCCAACAACTGGTTAAGAGAGCTGACTAATCGCGCAGCCAAAATTTATAGCGTGCATGCATGCACGAAGAACACGGAATTACTAGGACTTAGAGTGGGGATTAGAGAGGGAGCGCCTGCGTTCTGCATGGTTGGGCCGCGGCGTGGGGGACGTAGCCCTTGTCGATGCATCGATCCGAGCATGCAAACCGTGGCTTACAAAAACTCCAGCAACAGAAAGAGAAGGAGGGTGGGAAAGACAAGATGCAAGAAGGAAAATACAGTTACAATGGCGCCTGCCCCAAGATTACAGTTACACACACGATTAAGGGCGCCTATTAATCAGAAAACCTTTGCAACCGCAAAAAGAAGCACGTGGAAGAAAGCGCCGCGCGGCATGAAAAAGAAAAATCCTAACTACTGAATTCCTAATTCCTATCTAATGCGAAGAAGCAAAAAGCACAAGGTGCAGAAGGAAAGTCCGAAATTCCAAGAGCCATCGGGGACTCGAGAAAATTCAAGAGGAAATTCAAAAGAACGAAGCAAATTTCCCGCGCGATGCCCGCGCCCAAAAGATTGAAACCGAAACGAAAGAAACGATGTCAACATTTATTAATCGCGCGCGCGCGCGGCGGTGCGCCAGACATCCATCCGACCAATCAATCAATCCGGCCGTCCCAAGACACACCCAGCTCCGTGCCTAGCCATTCGAAAAAGAAGCGACGAAAAGGACGAAAAAGCGAGGACACTGATGCAATTCTCCACCGATCCCGATCTCCCGTAATTGGCCCAATCTTCCCAGCTTAGGACCCCTTGTTGCAACCGCGCCGAAAATCAGGCGTTACAGAAAGTGGTTCGTCACCCTCCTACCATCCATACCGCTATCCTTACTACAAGCCCTTGTATCAGCTGCACTACTCCTGAATCTAGAAAAATCAAGAATTCGGGCCTCGCTGCACTACTCTTGAATCTTAAAAAATCAAGAGTTCATCACGGCTGCACTAACTTTTGATGCCGCATCCTGTATTTCTTTTCAAGAGCTGTCAGATTCACTCTCGAAAACCTCGAGAGTGAGTCATCACTGCACTAACTGTGGAAAACTGCTCTTGGTCCGGCGCTTCAAGAGCTGTCAGAAATGGCCCATCGGACGACCTCTTGAAGTTTCCACAGTCCCCGCCTGCAGGAGCTGTTTTTCTAACTGTTTTTCTAAACGAGGCTGACGGGTCCCTTCATGCGGTTTGCAAATTCGAGAGTTGGCCTCCGGTCTCGGTGGACAAATCGTCGCTGCCCTGTCGTGTAGTGTGTCCTACAGTCGAGAATGCTCATGAGAGTCGAGAGTCCGGAGTAAGGGCTCACACGGGGACCTATAATCCCAAAATCCCAAAAAAAAGGGGAAAAGGCTCGGATCTACCAACTTCGCAAATGTACTATTCCAGTGCCCATTTGTCAGCGCCCTGGGAAGCCACGGGGCAAGGGATTTTGCGGTCACCTCTGGAGGTGACCGCAAATGCCCTTTTTTTTTTTTGCATTTTATTCAAAAATTGGCAAAAATTCGTTCACAAAAGTTCTTGCACAATTTGTGGATGCCCCCGTGTGACCAGCCAAGTACCAAATCCCCATTTCTCCAGAAGGCCGCAACCTTGTCCCATGTGAAAAGGTACAGCAGTGTGACTAGAACCACACCCAAAACCTCAAATCGGCCCTTCCCAACTTCGCATATTTTGCCCATTTGGGGTTGCCGTGTGAGTATGCGCTGAGTATGCCCTAAGTGCAGCTACGACAGCAGTTGATGCCAATCCAGGAGTCTGACAGCGCTAGACGAACTCCTCGCGAGGCCGAAAATCACCATTTCGTTTTGTTACACCACCGCCAGCACACGCGAAATCACTAGCCCAAACACCCTGACGAGTGTTGAGGTGCCTGACTTTCGCAAATGCTAATTTTCTTTTGGACCAACATCCCTTGGACCGACGTGCTGCAGCCCTTGGACCTACTTGCTGCAGCTCCACCAGCAGACTTCGGAGGACCTACGTCTTTTCACGAGTTGCAGCGGGCATGGAAGGGGCACGTGCGGAGGCTCGCGAATTGCAAATCTGACACACTTCGCGACTTCCTCCTGACAGTTTTCGTTTCTTGCCGAAACGTTCACGAAACGAATCAGTTTTTTTCCTCGTTTGGTGTACCTTCCGGTGAGGCCCTTGGCCTTGACCCAAAACCTTGCCCGTAGACAGCCTGTGTGGCGAAGGGGGGGGTCGGGGGGGTTAAACTGTCGACGGCCGACTTTCGATTTTTTTCTGACAGCTGTCGAAACTCGAAGGATGCTGCGTTTGCTCAGCACGTCCTGCCTCGCTGGCAGGGTGGAAAGACAAGAAGCCAAAAAACAAAAGACGATAAAGGATGCTGCACTTGCCACTTGGCGGGCACAAAACTCATATGGGCCCTAACTCATAATGGGCCGTAACTCCTTTTTTTCGCCAGCTGTCAGAAATTTACGACGGTTCGAGCGCGGCAGGGCAGACAAAATAGAGCAGAGCAAGCGTGTGCAAAACGAGAGTGAATCTTCCGCACGAACATGGGAAGATACACCGCCATGAATTTTGTC